GTGCACCAAGAGCATAGTCTGGCCTGTAAAATTGAAAATTGAGTAAATTTCAGACCTGAAAACTCACTCACGGTTAGGATTGTCCATTCCATAGGAATTGCATACCCCTGAAATTTACCCGATCACTTCTATACTCCTGAAATTTTAACTTGATCCCTTCCATACCCCTACCGTTATATTTTCCTTCATTTCACTATTACGTTTGGTTGTAAATGTCTTTTTTGCCCTTATTGCTTTAGGTTTGAATATAATAGCTTGAAAAACGATTGAAAATTTTGTTTGAGTACACAGTATATGCAATTTATGAAACTAATGAGACTAAATAATTAGTGCAGATAATTTTTGAAATAGAACAAATGTAATAATTTAAAATATTTGTTTCAAATTTTAATAGGTGATCGGGAGCATTGTATGAATGCTCCTCATTTTTTATGATTTTTTTAAATAGATACATTTTTTATTCATTAACTACAAATAAATTTTGTGATAAATAATGCATGGCACAACAAACACATAAATATAATAGTCTCATACAACAAACTTATATATTTTTAATAATGTAATTCATAAACTTATGTTCATCCAAAGGGTAAAGTGGTCATTTTTATATAAATTAAATGGTCAACTGACGGGAGGGGTATGAAAAGGATCAATATCAAATTTTAGGGGTATACAAGGAAATAAGCAAAATTCAAGAACATAGAAGGGATTAGCTAAAATTTCAGGGGTATACAAGAGATTTTGTCTATTTTCTCTTATAATCTACTCCCTCCGTCAATAAAAAAACCTAATCTAGTACTAGGATAGGACACATCCTAGTACAATGAATCTGGATGTTATAACCTCGTCTAGATTAGTCCAGATTCGTTGTACTAGGATGTGTCCCATCCTAGTATGAGGTTGGGTTTTTTTTTGATGGAGGGAGTATGTATCTCATATAGTTGGAACGAAAAGCTACACATGCATTGAGCCATATAATTAAAAAATAGTAGCCTTTCATCCATTTATTATATACATTTTACAATCCACTAAGGGTAGTTATTAATTGCTCTAAAGCTTAATGTGCATTTGATCTATAACACCTAAAATCAACTACCATAGAAAAAATATGAATCATTTAGGTATCTTACCTATATATCCTATCTAGTTGGAAAAAAAACCCGACATGCATTGAGCCACATCATCTAGAAAATAGTAGCTTTTGGATCCACCTCATGCTTTCATATCAACCGTCTATATGCCATATACACTTACAGTCCATTGAGTATTGTTATTGTTATAAAATTTAGTGTAGATTAAACAATGACACCTAGAAAATTAATAACCATTGGATTCATCTCATGCTTGATACGCACATAACCATCCAGGTGCTATATCCAATTGCAATTTTATATCCATTACTATGAAGCTCAAAATGTTATCCATTTAGACATTACGAGCATACGGTTTACGCATTGTTAACAAGTAAATTTTGAGATATTTCTAAATTCCCTGCTACAACGTGCAAGGTACGCACTAGTTAATTAAGTGGGTGGCTTATTTCTCCCACAGTTTAGGAAGGGCTGCTTGGGGAGCGCCTCTAATTATTAATTACCACTATACAAATACTCCCTCCATTTCAAAATATAAGGCGCCCACGCAGTTCAAGATTCTACCTTCAAAACATTTTGACCAATATTTAGTACAATATAAATTTAATTTTACTTGCTAAAAATTATATCATTGATTGACATATGAATTTCCTTTCATATGATATGGTTATAATTTTGTTATTACAAACCTTATAATATATGAGAAATTATAAGATAAAGACTAGTTTTGGAGACTGTGCCAACTTTGATCATACCTTTTCTTATAGGATAGAGGGAGTACTGAGTTATTGCTATTTGCATAACTGCAAGTAGAAATTTTAATCGCGTGATGACTGAATTCGTTAGTTATATATATAATTTATTAACTTGAAATTCCAGCTCCTATATATGAAATGCAAATGGGGCAATTCTCAAATAATACTTCATAATTAATTATGAATTAATGTAATTTTCATTTTTATCATATTTCTGTTTTTAAGTAATACTTTTTTGACATATAAAAGTATACTCTAATACATCTTTACTAATTCTACCTTATTATTTCACGCGAATATTCATTACCAACGGATTGTACTCTCTCTCTCTCTCTGCTTAAATATTAGGGAAAAGTGGAGTAAACTAGCTGTCTTTCAACTTATGGGATTGTGTCATTCAGGGACAATATATTTTCGAGACCTTGAACTTGTTCTAGGTATCATATAGGCCTAAACGAATTCTAACCCGCTTTATGTGCTATCGTGCACTGGTGGAGAAATCATTTTTACTCCCGGTTGGTAACCTCCTTAGTCCCGGTTTTCTAACCAGGAGTACGAATCAGGGACTAAAGATCGCTATCTTTAGTCCCTGTTCAAATACTCGGGACTAAACATCGCATTAGTTCCGGTTGGTGTTACCAACCGGGAAAAAAGAGAGGAATATGTAGTCCCGGTTGATAACACCAACCAGGACTAAAGAGAGAGTAGCGTCAGTTCAGATGGTGCCCTTTTTTTTTTCTTTTGCCAGATTTAATCTCTATACTTTCTCCCGAATCTAGTGCCATGTATATCCCTAAATCAATCCCCAAATCCCTAATTGAAAGTAACATCCCAGATCTTAAGTTACTTATAAACATAAATCAAATACATCACAAATCCTAAAAAAATATACTCAAATCAAATACATCACAAATCCTAAAAAATACACACAAATCAAATACATCACGGATTATATATCTCATATACATGCAATGAATCACAAAATTACCCATCTCAATCAATCACAAATTATCAAAAAAAAAGAAAAGAGGCCGGCCGGCAGACGAGAGGGCACGGCCATCGCCGGGCGCGCCCCCGCCGGCCGCCGCCGCGCGCGGCACCTGCGGCCGCATGGCGCCGCCGCCGCCCGCCATGGCTGCCGCCGGGCACGGCCCCTCCGGCCGCCGCCGCGTGTGGCACCGCCACCCGCCATGGCCGCCGCCGCCGCCCGCCACGGCCGCCGCCGGCCACCGGATGGGAAGTGAGGAGGGGGAGGAGAGGGGTGAGGAAGGGGAGGAGGGGGGAGGAGGAGTTAGATCTGTGAAGAGGAAGGGGAAGGGATCTGTGAAGTGTAGGAGTGGGTAAGGGTTAGAGATTATATACTACGTATTAAATTGTAGTCTCGGTTGGTAATACTAACAGAGACTAAAGAACAATATAATTTTTAGTCCCGATTAGTTTTATTAACCGGGATTATAAAGATGATCTTTAGTCACCAATCGGGACTAAATATTCTTGGCCCCCTAACAGACTACTGACCCGGGATGAACCGTGAGTAAAGATGATTTTTAATTCCGGTTGGTGTTACCAACCGGGACTAAAGATCATAAAATAGCTGTGGTGTTTTTAACCGGGACTAAAGATCATTTTTAGTCTCGGTTTTTATTGCAACCGGAACTATTGTGGATTTTGGCCGATCGACCAAATATGGTTTCTCCACCAGTGGTGGCATGTCATGTTGACGCGTACATATCAATGGGATCCACATATTTGTCACATAAAAATATTTAAAAACATATTTTCTTCTCTCTCGAATTGACATACCTCATTTCAGGCACCAAACTTTCAAAATCTTCAAAAAATTTAGAAAAATATCAAATTTATTTATTTTTGATAAAATTTTGCTAAGCTAATAAGTTCACAAGGATTCGAATTTATTTGCATAACCTACTAGAATGCACCGGTAAATTAGGGGGGGGGAGGAGAAACGATATTTTCTTATTTTGTTTTTTTATGTGACTGATATGTGGGTCCCGCTGACACTGCACCACTATGGTATGTCACGTCATTATCCGAAGTGGGTTGGAGCCCATTTGAATCTGTATGACACCCAAGATAAGTTTAGACACTCATGGACCTCGATAAAACACCCACATAAGTTTAGAAATTATCCCATTCACTTATCTCTTTCATAAATATGAGATTTCAAACTACTTCGCCGAATATTTACGGAAAAATGTAACAACCTAGAAGTGAATAGAAGTAATTGCAACAACTTTGCCTGATTCACCAAAAAATTGACAATCTGAATAATGAAAAAACTTATTCTCTCCATCCTAAATACAACAACTTATAATTTAAAATTTGTTTGTAATAATGGTAATAGGTGATTTTACCACTAAACTATCTATACCACTCCAACCATCTCGTGTCTTTATTATTATCTAGACCAATACCTCACCTACCCCGAAAAGACAAATAAGTCTTTCTACCTATCTTCTTAGTAGTAGGACCAGGGGGCTAAAACTTATTATAGTTGGGACGGAAGAAGTATTTTCGAGATTGAACCACGCCCAAAAATTATTAAAAAAAAACCATGTCCTTAACGCCAGCCTCCACGGCGTTGAGGTTAGATGCTGAATGCCGTTTAATTTTCTTTCACTTCTTACCCCAACAATCCTCTCGCCTCTTATCAAATCTCATTTAATTTTTTGATAATGGAATAGGATATCCTAGCTTTTACTCAACGAGTTACAACCAATTATTACAACGTAACACGTGAAAATAAAAAGGTTCACACAAAAAAAAGAAGACACCAACCATGAAGAAAAAGCAAACTAAAACTAAAGACTACCAACCCAAGATAAGGATTACACAATTATTGAATTCTGTTTGTAAATCTCCATCCAAAATTCGTAAACAGTTACATAACCGATCTGTCAAGATTACGACATTCAACTTTTAAGCACTCGCCCTCTTCATCAAATCTCGTTTAATAGTTTAATAAGGGGCATCATACCCTTTTCTTTATTATTAATTCTTAATAATCTCTTCAAAAGTATGTAAAGTTTTCATATTTGTGGACCGAGGGAGGGAGGAAGCACGTACGTATCCTAAATCCAACGGCGTTAGTGGCGTGCGGTCAGTAGCTAAGCAAGCAGGGCAGCATAAATAGAGACGCAGGTAAGAGGGCGCAGAGAGGGGAGGCGTCTGTGCCTGCAGACTGCAGTGTATCCCCCTGCAGGCCGGCCGGTTGATTACTTGATTGCATCGTTCCCCTCCAATTAGCAGAATATCATGGAAGGGATCCCTAACCTCGGCCGGGTAAGATATAAGATCTCTCTTCTTCTTCCGTCGTTCGGTTCAGTAGCTGCTTAGCTATGCTACAAAAGGCCAGGAATTTTACTTCCATTATTATCTGAAGAAAAAAAAAGAAACAGAACTATACTATACTACCGGTCTGATCACAAGTGGTTTGCAGCACTCGCAGATTCTGCCCATAACAAATCCCCGGAAACAAAAGAATAAGGTCAGGTTTTACTCTTCCAGGCCTCTGAATTTCTCATCTTATTCCCTTCTCTTTTCTCGTTTCTTTCTGCATCATTGTATAAATTTTTTTTTTTTTCACACGATTCCCGCAAATCTTGAGCTCGCAGGAGAAAAACACAGATCAAGATAGGAGCAACAGCAACAGCCCTTGGCCTCTGATAGCGATCGGCTTGCTACTTTCGTTGCTGCTGTTTTTGCTGGTGTACAAGACATTGCTGGATGCGCCGCTGGTGGTCCAGTTCGCCGCTGTCAAACAGAAGGCACGCCGTCTCCTCTAGCAAAAGCTCTACATACGCCTCGTAATAATTATTGATCTCGTCTCAAGTCTCAACTCGATCGTTCAGATACCATGCATACCAGTTCGTCGTCATAGATTCGGTTTGTGCCTATACATCTGCTTAATTCTAGTTTTGGTTGTTGGTGATCCTGTGATCTTTCCATTAATTCAGTGTGGAGTATTGTATCATCTTAATTATGTCAGAAATAGATTCTGGTGTTGATTGCTTGTACTGTTGACGCATGCACAGCAGATCTCTCAAGGTGAAATGATTTCTAAGACAATTTCACCCTCCAGTTCTCTGTATATGCATGATTCGACCGCCTAGTGTGTTTGATAAGAGAGTTCTAGCACTGTGTCCAGGAAAATAATCACTTCCCTGTATGTGTGACGAACCTTTAGATGTGTTTTTTTGGATTCGCAGTACAGTATATACAATTTTAATTTAATGACATATATATTTTGAGATGACATCCGAATTATCAGTTTGGAATAGAGCACATCCGTAGCATTTTTATAGGAGGTTGACTCCTTGAGTATCACCTGCCACGAACTCTTGATTGCCAATAACAGTCCGGTAGCTATCTTATCAGCCGGGATCCTTTGAATTTGGCCTCCATTTAAGATCTTCTTCCATGGGATGATTATAGGTGGCCTCTGAGTCTCCTGAAGCTGCAGTTGACATTTGTGCTGCAAAAAGAAACAAGACCATCAAGTGATAGAATAATCCACTGAAAACAGCCAATAGCAGAGCAGCATATCAGCCATTTTAGCGATATAAGCAAGGAACATGAACGCATAGAGTATAATAATCGTAGCATTTTTATAATCGCATCATGGAGACACAGGAATCCATAGTGTAATATTCAGATTTCGTGACAACTTTAGTTATAAAAACTTCAAAAGTAGAGCTGGATGCCTAGGGTGGCCTACACAAAGAAGGGATTCAGATTCAGAGTAGAAAAGAAGAGGCGATGACGTGACGAAGTTGCAGTCAGGAGCACGGTTGGGCTGCAGATGGGCTGAGTTAGCCACACGTTCCAACCCAGGCCCAAGCAAGCACAAATTGCAGCATATCTATCAGCAACAACAGCAAGCACCTGCATCCATCGAAGGATCGATCAATCGGCCAAGGCAGCGAACAGTGGTGCTGTGGTGGCGTCCCGGTGGCCAGGTTTGGCAACTTGGTGATCTTCTTCCACTCCCCCAATCTCCCTTCTACCTCAAGCTTTTAAAGTTTACCTCGTCTCTTCTCCTTTTCCAAAAACACCTAATTCTATATTGTTTACCGTTGTAATCAGATTGGGTGGAGAATTGCGTCTCAAACATTAGGGCCGCACGGGCTGCGCGACTGGACTTGGCGGCTCAACTCCAGCCAGCGTTGCATTTTTCCTGCCCAAAGCACTTTGTCTATGTAGCGATGCCTTTGCCTCTAACGCGATTGGCGAGGGCGCTGAGCAACGCATTAGGCTATCTTAGGCTTAGCGACCCTATTGCGATTTGTCGGCACCAATCACACCGCCACACCTTAAGCATGTATGTGCATCCCACAGTGACACCCAAAGGCGCACCGTCACAGAGAGTGGTACATGCCGCCAACTAAACACTCGGGAGGGACCCTATCAAAATTAACTTGTGCCGGTATGTCCTACATCGGCAGGTCAGTTAGGACGTCCTCTAATATCGTAGACACGAGAAATGATAAGCAATTGAGGGATTGGAGGATAATAGACTTGGGGATAGATCGCAAGAAGGAGGGAGATATGTGGAATATAGAGCATAGGGGTAATAAATTGATTTTGATGATTGATTAGTTGTTTTAATTGGTCTTCGTCCCCCTATATTTATTGGAGGGGTGGACTTGCTCTCCAAGGTCTTTCCCACATCCTATTAGGCTTAGAAATTAATTAGGACTCGAGAAATCCCGGTCTAAAATAAGAAAACACGAGAAATACCTATATTGGACTCGGACTCTAGACTAAAGTTCTAACCGCAGTTCATTGTCTAGTCTGATCGACTACTACTTCCAGTTGGACCAGTGGTATTAACCAGTCGGACCAGCTAATGCTACCGGCCTGACTGGCAGTAACACACCGGTTGGATTAGAATAGTGTGCCGCGGGAGTAAATCTGGGACCTATTGTCTCGAGGGAATTGTAGGTATTCTTTTTATTGGCTAACCGTGTTGTACATAAAAATTTGGTATATGAAAATCCGATGGAATATCATACATATGTTCGCTATGGTATGAAGTAGACACACCACCTAAGAACCGGCTACTTAGCCGATTCTCTAATTCACTCATGTGAGCGTCAAGGGTTTTCTCAAAGGTACTAAAAAAGAAGTAAACTGATTCTTTAAACTAGCTATAACAACCCCATCTACTATTTGAGCAATATTAGATGCAAGAACAGGGACATTGCTAGAGTCGGCTGTTAACCTTTTGATTTGTCCTCGACGGGCACTATGATATTTTCTTGCTTGATGATGCCTTGCCTCATTTTCCTTTAGTATGAAGCCATCTTTCGCCACAATTCTTCAAAGTGAGCTTCAAGTTCCTGCTGACAAGCTTTCAGCAACTCTCCATAATTTGTGGTCATGATATTGTCTTGATCAAGATCGGTGTGAGAGCCCATTGTGGAGAACTAGTGTTTTAGCTATAGCAAAAAAAATCATCCCCACTAGAGTCACCAAAAAATTGTGTTGGCACCAAATCGTTCCCACAACACCTTGAACATGTTATGTGCAACCACAGTGTCACCCGAAAACGCTCCACTGCAGAAAGTGGTTGATGCTACCAAACAAACATCTCGGAGGGACCCCATCAGGATGAACATGCGCTGGTGTGTCCTAGACTTGGCAGGCCAGCTAGGACATCCTTTAACGCTGTAGATACGAGGGACCGGCTTGTAGGTGCCGGTTTATTTAAAACCAACACCTATTAACCTTTTTCAACCTCCGCGTATAAAAAAAAAGAGAACCGTCACCTTTGAACAACTATAGGTGCCGACTCTAAAGAAATACTGGTTTTTTAAAAAGAACCGGCACCTATAATATAATATAGGTGTTGGTTTATTAGAAACGGAACCTATAATATATTATAGGTGCTGGTTTTGGAAAAAGAAGGTACGAATATAACCTAGCCAAGCCAAGCCACCCGTTGGATGGAGGTTTTTTTTTAACTCGAGTCAGATCGTTCTTATCCCTTTGCTCTCACCCCGCTACCCCCTTCGCTCTCCCTCTCACTCTCTCTGACCTCTCTCGCTCTCTCTCTCACACATCCCCGGCCCCCTCCTCCTCCTCCTTTGCATCCCCCCTCCAGATCAGCGGTGGTGGTGCTACTGCCGGTGGCAGCAGCGGTGGAGGAGGCTCGCAGACGGTGGGTGGTCTCCACGGCGACGAGCGTTGGCAGCCTCCCTTCAACCGTAGGAAGCCTCCATGGTGGCGAGGTGCGGCCTCCCCTCCGCGGGGCCCGATTAGTGGTGGGCAGCCCTCTGGTGGGGCTCGGTGGGTGGCTAGTGGCCTCACTAGTGGCGGGGCGCGTGCGGGCGGCCTCCACAACGGTGCGGCAGAAGACCTCCCAACGACGGCTCGCCGGTCGCTCAGATCCGTGCGTCCTCCTCATTGGTTTCGTTCTCTTCTTTCCAGATCTGTGTGTTTTTCAGTTCTTGGATGCTGATTTGGTGCATGTTTGATGTCTCTATGTTGTTCAATGAATGGATGATGGTATGTGGATGTTGATGAATAATATGTTCTTGGATGTGGTGCTCAGGATGCTTTGGGGATGTTGATGGCTTGGGATATCTTCTCTGTGTTGATGCTTTGGGGATGTTGATGTGGATGATGGTATGTTGATGGCTCGATCAAGCCGATGCATTGATCGAGCCGTCGAGCCTTTTTTTTCCCATATGACTCATAGGTGCCGGCTGTTAGTGATGAACCGACACCTATAATCACTATAGGTATCAGTTCTAAAACCAACACCTATAATCTCAGGAATAGGTGCCAAAAACAAAACCGGCACGTACCTATGACTAGTTTTCCACCGGCACCAAACACTGTTTCTGTACTAGTGACAAGCAATTGAGGGATTGGAGGAGAATATACTTTAGGGATAGGTAGCAAGAAGGAAGGAGATGTGAAATATAGAGGATAGGTGGTAATAAATTGATTTTTACAATTGATTTGTTGTTGTTTCAATCGGTCTTTGTCCACTATATTTATAGGAGGGACGGACTTGCTTTGGAGGGTCTTTTCCACATCCTACTAGGCTTAGAAATTAACTAGGACTCAGAAAATCCCAGTATAAAATAAGGAAACACGAGAAATGTCAAAATTGGACTCGGACTCTGGACTAAAGGTTTGACCGCCCGGACACCTACGGTCTGACCGTAGTTCATTGTCTGGTCTAACCCGCCACACAACAATGGCCTAACTGGCCACATAACGACGGTCAGGTCGGCCTTCACGAGAAAGTTTTGGTATTTTCTAAGTTTAGTTCAAACTTGCTATAACTTGACCATAGTGCCAAATTTGACTATCAACACAATGCCTTGATATCCATGGATGCATGCAGGTATGCTAAGCTTATATCAGATAATGCTGGATAAATAACTATGGTTTCTACTATGATTTCCATTGTGTATCTTTGTGTTAGTAACTCATGTTGCTAGGCCTTCAACCAAAGCTACTAGCCTACTGTGGCCCATCTGGCTGGAAAAATGGTAATACAAAAGAACAAGCATTATCTAGGGAGATCATCAATTGATCAAATTGGCGAGATGAGGCTCTTGGCGGAGGTGGCAGCCAGTGGGCACCCTTGTCGATTTTCTTCCTCCCTATCTCCCTCCTACCTTTAGCCTCCTTTCCTAGCTTCTAGAAACTTCCATAACTTTGTATCCCCTTACTTCTCTTCTCGTCCCCAAAATACTTGTGAGTTGTATTGAAACTTGCGATTACTGATTTGGGAGAAGAGGGCCTTAACAATCAAGTGTAGGGTCTTAACCAAGTACTATGCCATGGCAAGTGAGGACAAGTTCAACAACCTTTTGAGGCGGATCGAGGAGTTCGAGTGGACGCAGGTAGAGGTAGATAAGAGGAGTGATGAATCGCTCTCTCAAGACGGTGGTAGCATCATGGATACCCAAATCCAAAAGAATGCTAAAGACTTGCAAATTTCGGTTGAGAAAAAGCAGACCAAAGGTGACGCCCACCATGTATTCGATGAAATGCTCTAGCCCCCAACATTGAGCCGATCCCCTTGTGGGTGTGGTGGTTACGTGCGCCGCCACTGACACGACCTTTATGGAGCTGGTGGCTGTTGATGACACATTAAGCACAACCTATGTCGACAATCCGGCTGTTCAACGAATTGCTCTAGCCCTGACCTAGCCTTTCCATGGCTGCAATGGTTACGTGCGGTCGTGTGCATCCACTTCTCTAGTCCTCAAGGAGTTGGACGTTGGTGCGGACACTACCTGCACCACCAACATCGATGTCCCTGACCATCCCAAGGAGACTGTTGTTGGGCCTTAGCATCAAGTATGGTGCCGACTAGGCTATGATCGTGTTCCTAACCACGGAGGGTGAATTCAAGGTTGTTCCGACATCTATTGAACCAATTGTCATCTTCTTGCCAAGGGCGATGACTGATCTTAAGTAGGACACAAACCTGCCCCACCAGATGTTTGTTGAAATGCCCTAATGGTAATAGGACACAGCTGATGGAGCACCCTCAAGAGGAATCCATGGCCACATCCTTGGTCAGGTAGAGTGATTAGAGGCAGGGAGTTGAGGGCTTGAGGCCTTCACCATGGCCGGGATTAAATTTTTCCGAGGCAGTGGAACATCTAGTTCCATCATGGCCACTGCCAACTCAGTCATTGCCTCTGACCTACCAATCAAATTTTGCCCTCATATTTACTGCGGTGCATAAGGTTGCTTAGAGTGGGATGATCAAATCAATGACACATGTATCAAGCATCAGTAGTAAGCTAGATGGCATCAAAACTTTAAAACTTTGATCATCAATTTATATTAAAATAAGTTTACAAAATACAATAAGTAATGTGTTGCAATAGTATGTTTTCAGGGAAACATACAAATACCTTTTCTTTTTAGGAACAACGCATTTGAGAAGTTTTTCTTTGTTGAGTAGAAGTCAAAGTGTCATTTGCGAGGATGTGCAAATATAAAGCAATGGCATATAGGGAAATAGTCAATTTCGAGTGGCACATAAGAAAATAGGGAAAATTTCAGTGACACAAAAGGAATTTTCTCAAAAAATAAGTAAACATTTGATTTTATAAAAATATTTTTAATATTAATTTATATGTCAAAGTTTTAGTGTCTACACTAAATATTTTAGAAGTTATAGTCAAAATTCTAATTGTTTGATCTTAGTATTGTTTAAAACATTAAGAATTAATTATGAAAGCAGAAATGAAGAGAGAGTTAGTTGTAGCTGTAGACAGATCGATCGATAGATTTACAGCAAAGATGTCTCCAATAAGCAATATGTAGACATGTCTATGATTAACGTCTTCAATACATGTCTTATGTTTTTTTACTTATGGCGGTAGAAGAACAGATCGATAGATAGATTTAAAACAAAGATAATAATTCTCTGCAGTGAGCAAGGCACTGCACATATCGATCATTGGATGATCAATGCAAGACATGGAAGAACGTCTTGAGTATGTTGACGATGGTGTTGAAGAAGGTGACGACGGCGAAGGTGGTGGCGAAGCAGAAGCCGACGATCGCCCACGGGCTGTTGAGGTAGTCCCGGCGGAATTTGGCCTTGTACTTGGGCCACTTGCGGCGGCAGAAGGCGTCGACGTCGCGGTACACCGGCGCCAGGTAGTGGTCGTCGTAGTCGATGTAGGAGCAGACGCGGAGCTGGTTGAAGAACGCCGCCGCCGCCTCCTCGTTCGCCAGATTGTTCTCCATCACGTCGGCGCGCTCCAGGATCACCACGTCCTCCGCCGTGTTGATCAGGTAGTCCATCAGCACCACGTAGCTGGTCAGGTGCTTCCCCGCCGCCGGTGTCTCGGCGTCGCCGCCGCGGCACTGCTCAAAGGCGGCGAGGTTCATGAAGCGGGTGCAGGTGGAGTCGTCGACGGCGACGCGCGGGATCTCGAACACGCCGTCGTGGAACGCGACGTCGAGGATGTTGCTCGTCCCGACCTTGGGCACGAACCTCACCCCGTGCATGGCCAGCTCCTTGGCGCAGCGGATCGTCCTCGGCGGTCTGCTGCCGCCGCCGCCGTGGCGGTGCCGCCGCGCCGGCAGGTGATCGGGTGGCTTGACGAAGGTGGAGTGGTAGAGGTGGAGGAGGTGGTCGATGTCGTCCTCCTCCTGCAGCTGCGCCGTCTCCGTCGCCGCCGGCTGCCGACCTTCCTTCTGGCTGAAGTAGGCGGTGATGATGCTCGTCAGCGACGGCTTGGGCCGCCGCGCCGGCCGGTCGAGGTCGCCGTCGCCGTCATGCGTGTAGGCGTCGTAGAGCGCGAGGAGGATGAAGTAGGGGATCTGGTTCTCGAGCATGAGCAGGTCGGTGTGCAGCAGCGGGAGGTTCCAGCCGACGTTGAAGATGGGGTCGGCGACGCCGGAGAACCACTGGATGAAGAACTGGACCACGAAGCAGCCGTCGAGGAGGAGCATTTCGACGAACATGTCGCCGTCGTCGTCTTCCCCGTCGTCACCGGTGGCCGGGCTCTCGAAGTAGCACGCGCGCGCCCGCGGCTCGAGCTCGCGCACCCTGTCGATGCAGTCCTGGAGCAGAAGTCCGCGGCGGTGGCCGCTCTCGCCACCGTCGTCGAGGAACCGGAGGAGGTAGAGGCGCTTCCGGTCCTCCATGGCGCTGAGGTGGTGCTTGCTCCGGTGGTACGGGCCGACGGAGACCAGCCTCGGCTCGTAGTGCTTCCTGTCGACGTTCGCCGGGACACGGTAGATGGAGTAGCCGTCGCCCAGCCTCGCCGCCGGCGTGGTCAGATGCTCCAGCATCGTCTCGATGTTCACGCGCACCGTGTCCTCCTGCCTCGCCGTCGTCGTCGTCGTCGTCGTCGTCGATCTCCTCTGATCAGATCACCCCTCAGGTGACAAACTGACAACAACTACTCGATCATTAGAAATTGGAAATTTAGAATCAATCCATATAATAGCTTACATCAATATGAACAACAGTATCACAGCATATCATTAGAGGTTATCTAGAGAGGCTGAGAGGGATAAAATTGTAAGAACCAGCTTGAGTAAGAACATTTTGCCACTGATCGATCCACTGGGCATTACAGTCACTAGCTCTCTCTTAAACGGTCTCCAAAACATACATGCGCACAGAAAAAACTACTCCCTTTATTTCTAAATATATATGATGGCCATTCGTCTTATTGAAAAAGTTAGTAACTATCGTGACATCTTTAGTTAAAGGTATTTTAAATATAACTTATATTTTGACATAGGGAATTGTTACTTTTAGGTGACGGAAATTGCTAGGACTTTCAGTTACCTCCATCCTAGTACTGGACTTAGGGAGGGAGAGAGGAGGGAATGAACTCACCAAAGATGGCAACTTCGCGGTGGTGGTGGCAGCAATGGTGTGGCGGTGGTGGTGAAGTTAAAGCTTAGGGTTTTGGGTAGGGGCCGAGGTTGGAGGGGGAAGAGGGGGGAAATTTCCCTAGTGGGATGGTCTTGGGTAGCAGCCAAATTGGTGGTGCGTGGCCGTGACAGGTAGGCGGTAAGACTGTGGGGGCATTTTTGGAGCTGCGAGGATGGAGGTTGGTGGTGGGCAGTACCGGCGTGGGGACATAGGGGCCGTGGGGTTAAGAGGTAGCGGTCGGCCGCGATGAATCCAGCAGCGCGAGCCATCAAAGACGAGGAAGATGGTGATGCGGGGAAATGGAGCCACTGCTGGCATAGGGAGGAAGAGAGGAGGAGGCTGGTTTGACGGTGGCCTGCCCGCGCCGTTTACGGCTTCCAGCTAGCTGGTGAGCCCGAGGGTAGTGCACGAGGAGTCTTGCTTGATCGACTCGATCTGGTGTCTTGTCCCAATAAGAGGGAGAGAGAAAGGGAAGGAAAGAAAGGATAATGTTATTGTTGCACACAAATCAAATCTCAATGTAATCCTAGCCTTGCAAAAATTTAACTGAAATTGTGATATTTTCTTGTAATCCTAGTCTTCAGCCACCTGAAAACTTGACAATCCGGCCCTTTGATATATTCTTTTAAAAAATAATAAGATAAATAATTAAAATTATATCTAAAAGTGAATGACATTATATAATATACTAAAAATGAATGATTACTATATTAAGGAGAAAAAAGGAGACAGGACTACAAGCCTATTTGGGGTGTGTTTAGTTGACGCTAAAATTGGAAGTTTGGTTGAAATTGGAATGATGTGAAGAAAAAGCTGGAAGTTTGTGTTTGTAGGAAAGTTTTGATGTGATAGAAAAATTGAAAGTTTAAAGAAAAATTTTGGAACTAAACAAGGGCTTGGTTGTTGTCCTGGAAACAAATTGCCTGGAGTACTGAAGCTCTGTTTGTGTTCAGAATACTTTATTCTTTCTTTGTTTGCTTTCAGGTGATTTAATTTCTAAGGTCAAAGTCACTACCCAAACAACATAGTACCTCCATATTTTAATGTATGACACCGTTGATTTTTTATTCAACGTTTGACCATTCGTCTTATTTAAAAGATTTATGTAATTATCATTTATTTTATTATGATTTGATTCATCGTTAAATGTTCTTTAAACATGACATAAATATTTTTATATTTGTACAAAATTTTTAAATAAAACGAATGATTAAATGTTGGTCAAAAAGTCAACGGTGTCATACATTTAAAATACGGAGAGAGTAGACAAGTACCACACCATAAGTTTTCCTTGGCTTAGCATTTTTCTCAGGCGCCTTGTTTAGGGCATCAACCAAACAATCTCTGCCTATCGCATTCTTGCCCGGGCGGGCACCCATTTTCTCCCATCTCGATCTGTTCGGTATTTATACACAATCAACAATCAACGATATCTCCGTGCCTGCCTGCACTCGCGCCATACAACTACACTCATGCACGACCTATTCTCACGCCACTAACTCACAGTTAGCGTTCTGCGTGCAAATGCATGGATCTGCAAGCAGCTTGCAAAATAATAATAAAATGTATAATAATACAAATGCGCTAGACTCGTTCCAGCAGCTGCCCATCCAAATGGCTCCAAGCATGCCACGCACACCATGCAAATCAATGCAAGAACGATCTCATCTAACTATAAATTCTAACTATACGTGTGAGACTCAGATGTATTATATTGCCCATATATGTATTATATACATCACACTGCAACAACTAATTGATTAAATAAAGATTAAATTATATATATCGATCCAACAGTTCGCACCTGTGTAATAATTGTTTACAATATTTCGACTTAGAGATTTGTAAAACGTTATAGGGATGTGCTAAGTGCTAACTCAATAAAGATAACTACATATAGGATTTGCGTTTAGAAGGGGTTTACCTTCTTCTTCTTCTTCTTCTTCTTCTTCTTCTTCTTCTTCTTCTTCTTCTCCAACTCCTCCGGCGACTCTGGCTATGGCGATGGAAGGTGGAGATGAGGTTTCTGCGATACCACAGGTCGGATGAGAACTCCTTTAGGAAGACACAATATATGGGTCGTGGCTAACTGGCTATGGATCCATGGGGCTGTAACTGTTGGAGAGATGTGGTAGAAAGGCCTAGTTTGCGTGCGTGCTAGCTTGGGGGAGGGATCTCATCGGCGAGGAAGAAGAAGTATAGGTCTGGAGATTTTGCTAGCAATATATATAATGGAAGAAGTATTTTGTACACATATAGAGTCATACATTGACTACTTCAGAATGTCAAGTTTGGAGATATAAACTTCTAAAAAATCAATTTTTCAGGCGTTACGCTTTTATTTTCACATGCGGTAAAAAAAATACAAACCTGTGAAAATGGTGATTTTCACCAGTGAAAACCTGTTTTTACGGGTGAGTCCCTAAAAATCCACCTATAGAAATAGGTCCATGCTAAACATGGTTTTTAGGCTGTTTTGAAAATATGGTGATTTTTGCGGGCAATCTCTTAAGGAAAGAATACTGTCAGATCAATTTTCCTTGGGAGCACCACTAATATATATATATATATATATATATATATATATATATATATATATATATATATATATATATATATATATATATATATATATATATAAGGCCTTGCCTCTTTCAAATAAAGTCAATGATGACAAACTTCATATGGAATTTATAACTCTATAAAGATCTACAACTTTCTGGTTGAAAGTTCTTTTCATTTGAGATTGTTTGGAATATTCATTAGAACTTCTCATATTTATTTTTGAAAATATACCTTTTCAGTTTTTCAAGCAACCTTGGATGGTGACATGTTCTATATTAAAATTGTATAGCACATTCACATCTACAACAATTTTATAGTTGAAAGTTTGTATATTTGTGTCTGTGCTACGGATATATATGCAAAGACTCTAGGAGGGGAGGACATCGAATCATAAGCCATAGACAAATTCCACGTCAAGAGCATGCAACGGAAACTCTTCATCTAGCCGCCGACTTCAAGTCATTGGATTCGTCCCGTCGGGATTAGTTGATAGGCTAGACTAGCTAGCTTGCTGGTGAAAACCACCTCAGTGCAAAACATGCCCAAGAAAGCACTCTCAAGTCGATGGTTATCCTAGTCTCCTGGGAGTTGTGTAAGGAGAGAAACTCAAGTATTTGGGAGTCTTGCTAACACTCTGGCATCCATCATTGGCAAGAATTAAGGAGGAAGCGCATATGTGGATAATGGTAGGGACAAAAAAACCTAGTAGAGCTTTACATGTTGTGCGATTAACTCTTTTCCATCTTTGGCCATGGATGACATTAACTCCCACTTGATGTAAATATTTGATGATCTCCTACTCTATCAATATATAAGGCAATCTTATTGCATTTTCTTAAAAAAAAATCCACTCGATACAGGTGAAGTCTTAACGGGTTTTTGTTAGCACCCGTCATTAACGTGGCTTTCTAAAAAAAATCGTTTTCTTGGGCCTCATGCAATTGCTAGTCATGTCCTCTTATAAATATGAATAGACAGGTACACATTTCCAGAAACACCCCAGAATGAACAATTACATGCATCCATTTTTGTACACTTCAAATATGCACATCCATAATCACAAACACATATATTCCAACAAGTCTCCAATACATACAAAATTAGAAATTGCAGTCTCAAGAACATAACAAACCGCCCATGCGTCTATAAAAATGAAACCGTCGCAACTTGTGGTTTAGTTAAAATTTAAAAGAATTCATACAATTATTAATGCAAATGTCACATAATATCAAACAAAAATTAATGTTATATGTACATATGCTAATCATTTGTTTTAGACAAGCATCCAATCAAGACTACTTCATGATTGTTATCAACCATTTTAACCCTAATAATGTGAGTTTCGCTGTGTACCGCAGACACCGTGGGTTAATTACTATGGATGAAAACGATACGGAAATTTTCAACCATACCAGCATATTCTGATTATAAAATCTCACTACTATACATGCTTTTTTTAATACGGCCAAAACACATTTTTGCAGGCAGGCACTTTGCCCACCGTGTTTGGGAAAATTAGAAATTTTCCAGGCAGGCAACCAAACCACATGCGAAAATGAATTTTCACATGCGGCGCCTTATGTCTCCCCTATGAAAAAAAATTGGCAAAAATAAAAATATAAAAAAAATCCATAAACCTAGAAGTTCCCATTACCGCCGCACCAGAAGCCACCGCCGCCACTCCTTGCCACCCCTTCACCGATGGCAGCGGAACCTACGCCCCCACCACCACCGTCGTTGGAGCCCTGAAGTGGCGAATCCGCCACTCACGTTCTCGTCGCTATTAGATCTATTGTCCTGAGCTCCTTGACACTACCCAAAGCCCGCCGCAACTCCGACGCCACCACGCCTTGACTCCACCTGATCCACCATAGCTAGGGCCTACCATTGTTGGATCTGCTCGTCCCAGGTCCACCGTCGTTGGTTCCAGTAGTCGCGGGTCCGCCATCGTCACC